CATACATGCAGGCAATACACTCATACACATAAAATAAAATTAAAAAATTTACAAATTAAACATCCAAAACAAGAACTACCCCCACCTGTCTCAAAAAAAAAAAAAAGTTCAAAATAAATTGTAAATGGGGCTATGGATCTGCAACATTCCAAACTCTCCACAATCACTGAAGTTCTAATCAGTTGATCAGCCTTAACAGGAGGTTTGGGTGAAGATGCAGGTTTTTTTCTTGCAACATTTCAAACTCTCCACATTCACTGAAGTTGTAATCAGTTGATCAGCCTTACAGGAGGTTTGGTTGAAGATGCAAGGTTTTTTTCTGGAAGTTCAGTCCTGAGTTCAATCCCTGAGACCCCTGCATCATGGTGGAAGGAGAGAGTGGACTTTTGCAAGCTGTCCTCTGACCTCCACACTTGTACTATGGCATATGTACACACACACACACACACACACACACACACACTTGTACGGGGATGTACTGGAAACCCAGTCCCCCTCACCTCACGTTTGTCAAAGGTTCTATCACTGAGCTACGATGTCAGCCCAACAACTGCTTTAGGTCTAATAAGTTTTTATTCTTTATTTTTATTTGAGACAGGGTCTTGCTTCTCAGGGCCAGGCTGACATTACATTGTCCCAAAATCCTTCTCCCTCAGCCTCCGTAGATTACAAGTGTGAGCTACCATCCTGGGCCATTCTTTATGTTTAAACATTATTCATGAAAACCAAACATCCCAATGGGCTATATTTGATTGGATTGTTCACATCCCATCAGGTAGCCCAAACCATTTGGGTGAGTGTATACATATGAGTTCCCAGGCAAACCTTCGTCACAATAGGATCTCCGCAAGGGAGGGTCCCATTCCTAGAAACTTCAAGGCACCTCAAAGCTGTGGGTCCTGCGAGGACACAAACGCTCCCTCCCTCAAGGCCAGCACCTCGAGCCTGATTTCTCCCGCGTCCCCAGAGAGCACGCGCCAGGAACGCCCCCTCACTCTCCTCTGGTGACCCCTTCCGCCCCGCCCCCAGGCATTCTTCCGCCTCCGGCGCCCTTTGGCCCACCCACCCACTTCCCGTAGGCCCCGCAGGGCGCTGGCGCGCTCGTCGTTACGTGATTGGTTGATGGCCGTGTCACTCCAGTCCTGGAGTCCACAATTGGCTGGCTTTCTTCACAGTAGCGTCACTCAGTCTAAGCGGATTAGGGCGGAGCTCCAAGGGCGAGAGACCGTCTCCGTGTGCGTCCACGACAGTTTTCGCGGCGGATTGGGGAATCGTCTGTAATGGCGGCAGAGGCGCTGGCGGAGGCAGGAACGAGTGTGACGGCACTATCTATGCCCGGTCCTGACAGCACCGGCAAGTCGCCCGAAGCAGGAGAAGGAATTGCAGCAGCGGGCGAAGAGCTGGACCCCGCCACTAGAGGAGCGGAGGCCGTTAGGGACAGCGAGGAGGATGGGGAGGACGTGTTCGAGGTGGAGAAGATCCTGGACATGAAGAACGAGGGGGTACGTGGGGGCTGCGCCCAGAGGACACGGCCTGAGGGCCCTGGTGGGGACAGTGGGGAGCACCCCCCCGGGGGGTGGGCGCCGCCGAACCCGGGAGGACCGAGCGGTCCCAGAGCGCCAGCTGGAGACGTCAGGCGAGAGCAGAGTGACATCTCGGAAAGGACTCCGGCCGCGTCTGTGAAGGATGGATGCTTAGGGAAACTTGTTCTGGCAGAGAGATGAAGCAGTTGGGGATGTGATGTTGAGAATCAGGGTACAAGACAGCTAGTGGGGGACTTCTGTGACCGGCAGCATTTAGGGACACGGCTAGGGCTGCTGCCCTATGCTAGAAAGGACAGATGGTGAAATAATGCTACTATTGTAGTCCGTTGTCCACACCGTCGTTGCAGAGTTTTCACAAACTAGAATTCATTTCCTGGTTTAAAGTCAGGAATTCCCATTCGTCCTCAGAATAAAATCCCAATCTCTTGAGATTGGTTGGGTTGGCAAAGGTTTCGTCCCTCTCCTGCGCATTTATCCCTATCAGATTGTAACAGATCCAGCGTAAACTTGAAAATCTTACTACACCATACTTGGGCGCTTACCGTCCTCCTAGCCTATCTTTGGGAGATACCTTACCTTGGAATTCCTCTGCCTGTGATGCCCCTCCCCCCTTCCCCCCCATTTTTTTTTTTTTTCTCCTGAGCCCTGCAGAGCAAGGTATTTTCTCATTTCTGACCTCATGCTTTGTGGAGACCTCTATGTAAAGCATTATCTTTATGTTTTTTGTCTTTCCTGCTCTAGATTGTGGGCTCTTCTTTTGTTCTTTTTGAGACAGGGTCTCCCTGTAGCCCCAGCTGGCCTGAAACTTGCTATGTAGACCAGGCTCAGCCTGTCTGTCCCTCCCACGTGCTGAGATTAAAGGTGCCACCAAGCCAGGCTTGATTGTGGACTCTTTGGGGAATATAATTTTTATTAATCTTTGAATCAGTGGTATTTAGTCCAGTAGCAGTTAGTGCATGCCATGTTTATTTTGTTCTCTGATACTGAGGATTGAACCCAGGGTCTCATATATGCTAGGTAAGAGCTTTACCACAGATGTATATTCACAGCCCTCAGATTTATAGTAAAAGAATGAATGAATTGTGGGTTGGGGGTCAGAGAAGAGGAAACATGCACAAGTAGATAGGTATCAGACCTGACACAATGTTTTGTCTAATGTATTTTCTGTCAGTTGTTATTTCTTGTATGCTACCTTATATTTTTTAATCCATTCAACAGACTTTTTTTTTTCCCCCAAATCAATTGTCTACCATGTCCCACGTTGTAGCCTAGTGGTATAGATTTTTTTTTTCCCTTTTCTTTTTTGAGACAGAGTCTCCCAAGTCCAGGCTGGCCTAGAGCTTGAGATTCTCCTACAGTTACTGACACAGGAAAAATTTCATGTCCGGGGGGAGTTTATCAAAATTCAGTGTCATATTATTATTGGAGCCAGGGAGATGATAGGTCAGTGCTTGTCGTGCAAGTATGAGGACATGAGTTTGAATCCTTTAACTCCATGTAAAGCCAACACCCCATGTGTAATCCCAGAGCTCCTGTTGCAAGATGGGAGTTGGAAACAGGAGAATATCTGGAAGCTTTAGGACCCAACAACTAAAGAGTCACCCTGTCTCAAAGAAGGTGGAAAGCAAGGAAGACACACTAGGTTGCCGTCCGACTTCTACTCCCAGTAGTGGCATACCTATACCCACATTCACAGCACATCTACACTCACACGCAAACTTCACGCATACACACACTAAAATATTAGTTGCAATACTGTGAAGAATTTTTTTTTGTTTGTTTAATTAATTTATTTTTTGGCCTTTTTGAGACAGGGTCTCCCTGTAGCTCCAGCTGGCCTAGAACTCACTATGTAGACCAGGCTAGCCTTTGACTGCCTCTACTTCCCGAGTGCTGGAATTACAGGCATGCACCACCACGTTGGGCTCAGGGCCTTGTATTCTAAACTCATGCTTCACCACCGAGCTATACTCCCTCGTAAGATAGAAATATTTGTATGTATAATATCCCCAAATATGATCTGTGTGTGGTGGTGCACATCTGTAATCCCAGAACTTGGGAGGTAGAGGCAGTAGGATCAGGAGAAGGAAGTCTCAGCTGCATAGTAAATTCAAAGCCAGCTTGGGGTATATGAGACTTGTCTCAAAAAACTGAAAAACATTAAAAACAACAACAACAACAACAAAAAACCTTCCCAAATACATAAATTATCTTGAGATGAGGAAAAGAGCCAATCTTGAACTGTTGTTTGCACATAGTTGGTGTTTAGAAATTATTTGTCTCAAGAGGGTATTGTCTTCACCCATTCACAGAGTATTTAATTTTGCCAGTGTCAAAGAATTGTCGTCATTGTACCTAAAGTGAATGAAATTAAGAAGTTTAAGGTATTAAGAGGTAAAGGAGATTTAGAGTTAAATGTTGTAAAGTTGAATTAATGCTTAGTTCTCAAGATCTTGGTTTCTTAGGTGTCCTTGTAAAATGAATGATATGTAAGATGTGACATACTAGTTAACAGACCAGGATCGTTGTGATTTTTTTTTATCCAGTAACTGCTAATTAACAGGCCAGTTGGTCAGGCATTTTACTGTTAACAAACCTATGGAGCTTGATCATAGTTCATTAGGTTCTGTATAGTCTGGATGTTTCACATTTAATTAGAGACCCTAGCTGGGCATGGTGACACACACCTTTAGTCCCAGCACTTGGGAGGCAGGCGGATCTTTGTGAGTTTGAGGCCGGCCTGGTGGAGTTCCAGGCCAGCTGGGGCTACAGGGAGACCTATCTCAAAAAGACCAAAAAAAAAAAAAAAAATCAGAAACACTTAGAATTGACTTGCCTTTTGCTAATTTATATTGCTATAGCTCCCTAGTGCTGGAGATTACGCCAAGACGCCTAGGCAGGTGCTCTGCTACTGAGCTATACCCATAACTGTATAGGCTTTTTTCTTTCTTTCTATTTGAGTAACCTAAAAACTGTCTTATTATCTCTATGTATGTGGTGGATAGCTTCATTTGTCAACTTGATACACCTGTGAAGGGGAAACCTCAATTGTGGCATTGTCTCCATTGGCCTGGCCTATGGTCATGTCTGTGAGGCATTTTCTTGATTGTTGAGTGATTGGATCTGGGAGGGCCCAGCCCACTGTGGGTGCTACCACTTCTGGGTGGTGGTCCTGATCTATATAAGAAAGTAGGCTGAGGGGCTGGAGAGATGGCTCAGTGGTTAAGAGCATTGACTGCTCTTGCAGAGGACCCGGGTTCGATTCCCAGCACCCACATGGCAGCTATGAACCATCCTTAACTCCAATTCCAGAGGAATCTGAAGTCCTCTTCTGACCTCCGTGGCATTGCACAACACGGGTTCACTCACATACATGCAGGCAGTACACTCATACACATAAAATAAATAATTAATAAAATATTAAAAAGAAAGAAAGGCTGAGCACAGGCCAGGGGAGCAAGCCAGTAAGCAATGTTCCACCATGGTCTGTGCTTCAGCTCCTGCTTCCAAGTTCCTTTCCTGAGTTCCTAAAGATGAACTGTGCTCTGGAAGTGTAAGATGAAATAAGCCCTTTCCTCCCCAAGTTGGTTTTGGTTAGTGTTTTGAGACAGGGTCTCCCTTTGATCCATCTGCCTCTGCCTCCCGAGTGCTTTGATTAAAGGTATGTACCACCACACTCAGCTTTGGTTAGTGTTTTGTTACAGCAACAGAAACTAAACTAGGACAATGTATGGAATGTGACTATAGCCTGTATGTTGTGATTTGCAACTCAATTGGGGCAACAGAATAAGCAAAAATTTAAATTCTAGTGTAAGCGTAGGACAAGACATAGTTTGTGAGTTTCTTGGAAGGAGAGATAACTATAGTATTGTATAAAGTGATGGAAGTAGATTGGGCACTCAAGGATAGGGGTTGGCATTCACATAGAATGGAATAAGCTGAACTAGAAGTCCCAGATTGTCACCATGTTGGCTTGTCAACTGTTTGGTACATGTACCTTTTTATTTTTTTTCTTTTAACTGAGTTGCTAATAGGTCATGAGTGACTAAGCTGGTAAAGACTCTTGCAGCCAAGTCTGACTCCAGTTCAGGGGAGTCATCATCTTCTGGCCTCCATGGGCTTACACTCAGACAAATAAAAACTAATCCTAAAAGCCTAGCCAACAGATGAGCTCTGGGTGAGACACCTGGTCTCAAAATAATATGGAGAACAATAGAAGATGTCAGTTTCTGGCCTTTGTGCATACATATTAACACACAAAAATTACTCCCAAAAGTGAAGCCAGAGGCTGGAAAGATGACTTACCAGCTAAGAGTGCTTACTGCTCTTACAGGGGACCAAAGTTCAATTCCAAGCACACATGTCAGGTAGCTGACAACCACCTGTAACCCTAATTCTAGGTGATCCAGTATCCTCTGCCCCTAAGGCACCTGCAGTCACATAAACACTCTCACATATAGACACGTGGTCATCCAGATGTGGTGGTGCATACCTTTAAATCCCAGCACTCATGAGACAGAGGCAGCCAGATCTCTTGGATCAAGACCAGTCTGGTCCATATATTGAGTTCCAGACCAGCTGGGGCTATGGGAGACTATGAAACCAAGTATGGCTTTGTCATCACAGTTGACATACTAAATTTTTCTGAAAATTGCAGAGCACACATTGCAATATAAGCTGAAAAGAAAGAATATAGTTAATTTGTAAATTCATCATCCTATAGATAATGTAACCATTAAGAAAAATTTCTTTACTCCACCTTCCCTTTGTCCCCTAGTCCTTCAGTCTGGTAAAACTCAACGTTTTTAGTGATTTATGTATTTCAGGTACCTCATATTACTTAGACGTGAAACCGTAAGTATATATGTCTCCTTGTTTCTGGCTGATTTCACTTAGTGTATTTTCAGGATTCATCTATATTACAGCACGTGTCAGGATTCTCTTCATTTAAGGCTGAATAATTTCCATTTTATGTATGTATCACATTTATTCATCATTCAGTTTTTCTTTTGATGGCTATTCAGGGCCTCTTGTAGTTCCATTGATGGCTGCTCAGGTTACTTCCATTATTTGGCCATTGTGAATAATGAACACTGATGAATAAGTATCTCTTTGAGTTGACCCTTTTGGGTGTATCTATTATTGTGTAGGAGTTGCTGGATCATAGGGTGAGTCTATATGTAATTTTTTTTTTTTTTTTTTTTTTTGGTCTTTTTGAGACAGTGTCTCCTTGTAGCCCCAGCTTGTCTGGAAGTCACTATGTAGACCAGGCTAGCCTCGAACTCACAGAGATTCACGTGCCTCTGCCTCTGGAGTGCTGGGATTATGGCACCATATTTAAAATTTTGAGGGACTTTTCCCTAGTAGCTGTGTTGTTTTACATTTCCAGCACCCATGTTAGGAGATGTTAGGAGGTTCTAGTTCCTCTACTTCCTTACCAAACATGCCATCTTTTTTTTTTTTTTTTTTTTTTTTTTTTTTTTTTTTTTTTTGAGACAGGTTTGCCCTATATAGCCCCAGCTGGCTCGGAACTCTCTACATAGACCAGGCTGGCCTTAAAGGCATGTGCCACCATACCCAGCTTATTATTTTGTTTTTCAGGAACCATCTAGTTGGTGTGAAGTGGTATCATTTCGTGGGTTTGTGTTGTGTGTTTATTTTTTGTTGTGTGTGGGGGGGTGTTGAGACAGGATCTCATATAGCCAGGACTGGCTTTGAACTTGATGCATTTTGAAGTGGCAGGTGACCTTGAATTCTTGATCTCCTGCCTTCACCTCCCAAGTGCTGGAATTATAGGAGTAAGCTACTACACCCACCTTAATTTTGTGTTTGTGTTATGTGTACATGTGTGGCATGTGTGTAGAGGACAGTCTCACATGTTTCCTCACAGTCCTCTGTCCCTTTTTTTTTGAGACAGGGCCTCACTATGTAGTCCTAGCTAGCCTGGAACTTGCTATGTAGACCAGGCTGGCTTTGGCCAACTTAAAGAGATTTGCCTGTCTCTGCCTCCCCAGCACTGGTTTTGCTGGGCAAACCACTGCCTCTGGTCCCCACCCCCCCTTTTTTTTCTTTTTTTTTTATATTGGTTCTGGGGATTAAACTCAAGTTCTCATGCTTGGACAATAAGCAATTACTTTACAAAGTGAACTATACTTTTTGCCCAATTTTATATAGCCCCTGACCTATTTTGTATTGTAATTTGCACATGACTTAAGAGTGATGTGCTTGTTGTCAATCTGTGTATCTTTGGAAAGATGCTTATTCAGAGTCCTTTGCCTGTTTTTGAATTATGTTGTTTATTTTGTTTTTGAGTTTAGGACATACTTATTCTTGGCATTAGTATCTTAATGTTAGCTATATATGTATATATGTATGCAAATACTCTGTCCTAGTCTGTGGATCTGTTTCTTTTCCCTGTGGAATTTTTTTATTCTGTTGATAATGTCTTGTGATATAGGAAAGTTTTTAATTTTGATGGACATTTTTTCTTTTGCTTTGGTTACTGAAAGCCTCGTGGTATTCCATATAAATTTGGGATTGACTTTTCCATTTTTACAAACAGTGCTGTTTGATTTTTGATAGAGAGTGCATTGTATTTGTAGTTCATGTTGTATGGTGATATAACAGTATTGTCTTGCTACATTAAGAACACATACAGTTTTATGGGCTGGAGAGATGGCTCAGCAGTTAAGCACACTGACTGCTCTTGCAGAGGACCCAGGTTCAATTCCCAGCACCCACATGGTGCCTGTGAACCATCCTTAACTCCAGTTCCAGGGGAACCAGTGCCCTCTTCTGACCTTAGCATACATGCAAGCAATACACTCATATACATAAAAAATTTTTTAAAAAGAACACATACAGTTTTAGCATTTGGAAGATTGTAGTTTGAGACCAGCTTGTACAGAATGAGACCCTGCCTCAAATAATAATTAAAAAAAATAACTAGGCTTGAAAGTGGATACGTGTAATCCTGGCCCCCAGAAGTCAGAAGCGAGAGGATTGTGGCAAGTTGAAGGCCAGCCTGGTCTGCATAGTGAGGTCTAGGTCAGCCAGGGCTGCACCTCTATTAGAGAAGCCTACATTCTTGCTTTCAGGTGTGTTTTACTTTCTTTCTTAGCTCCTCTTTCTCTTGCTTAAAATCTATTATTAAAATGTCTTTATTAAATCCCAGCTATGCTTATGCTTTTTCCTTGTCTTCCTCAAAAACCTTTTGTTACTTATATGATGGAATAATCTTCAGTTGCTAAAAACCATCTTCGACTGACTTGTTTCTGTCTTTCATTGTTTTATACATCAGAAGAAGACCTAAGTCTTTTTGTTTCATTAAAAAAAATATATCAGTGGTACTGTTTTTTCTTAAGCTGCTGGCCTCAAGAAATGAATATGCACCTTTATTAATTTTCATTTTGATCCAGTTTTCAAGTTCTCTTAAGTTGTGTTTTTGGAAATTTAATCAGTAGTATGTCTTTTTAATTTCTACAGGGTAAGGTCCTTTATAAAGTTCGATGGAAAGGATACACATCTGATGATGATACCTGGGAGCCTGAGATTCATCTGGAGGACTGTAAAGAAGTTCTTCTTGAATTCAGGAAGAAAGTTGCAGAGAACAAAGCTAAAGTAGTTAAGAAAGATATTCAGGTATTGTATTTTATCTCATACTTTTTTTAGCTTGATACACATAATTTTATGGATAGAAAGTGTATGTAATAAATAAATTATAAAAAGTAAGATATCCATGAGACTGAGAGCTGTTTCAATGTTTGAGTATGTACTAGTCTTACAGAGGGCATGAGTTTGATACCCAGCTGCCCACGTTGAGTGACTCACAGTTGCCTATAACTCCAGCTCTAAGAGGATTTTCCACTGTCCTCCAAGGACACCCGCACTCAATTGCACACACCCATAGACACCCATGCTCATAGACATATAATAACACATTTTTAGGATAATACACAGTGTTCCTTGTAGAAATTACGTTTAGCTGATAAATTACATTTATTCTCACTGTTCTGTTTCCGACCTGTGGTTATATTTGACAGACAAGTATAGTTTGTATTTTGTGTCAATCTGCTAACATTGTAGTGTAATACCTGACAAAATTAACAGTTCTAGAGGTTCCAGTCCACCTCTGTGATGCCTCTGGTGGGGTGGTAAATGGCAATGTTGGGGAGCACATGATGGGACAAGTTCCTCATCTTCATAAGCCAGAAAACAGAGAGGAAACCAAAGTCACTGATTGCCTTTGAGGTCATACCATAAATGAACTAAGGATTTCCTACTATACCCCACCTCCTAAAGATTCTATTACCTCCCAGTAGTGCATCCCTAGGAACCAAGCTTTTAACACAGGACCCTTTGGAAGATACTAAGCATTTAAACTACAGCAGACACTAGAGGCTGGTGAGATAGCCCTGTGGTTAAGAATGCCTGTTCAGTACCCAGCCCCCACATGGTAGCTCACAAACTACAGCAGACTTGAACGTTGGTTAATAAGATTGTGCATTTTGGGGGCTGGAGAGATGGCTCCGTGGCTAAGAGTGCTGACTGCTCTTGCAGAGGACCCGGGTTTGATTCCCAGCACCGACATGGCAGCTATCAACCGTCTGTAACTCCAGTTTCAGAGGAATTCAGTGCTCTCCTCTGACCTCCATGGGCATTGCACGACACGGGTGCACTTACACACATGCAGGCGGTACACTTATAGACAAAAAATAAAAATAATTAAAAAAAAAAAAGATGGTGCATGTCTGTAATCCCAGTACTCAGGAAGATGAGGAAGGAGGATTATTGAGAGTTGGAAGCCAGCCAAGACTATATGATGAGACCCTGTCTTAAGGAAATAAGAAAAATAGGGGGCTTGAAGGTATAGCTCAATGGTATAGCACTTGCCCAGCATGTGCAAAGCCATGGATTCAAGCTCCAATACCAAGGTGGGGAGTGGTGATAAACATAAAAGTTGAAGGAACGCAAAGACAGGACACAACTGCTCTTAACTGCTGAACCATCCCTCTAGCCCCTATTGTAGATGTATTTTGTGGGCATTTTGTTTTCTTGTCATGGTTGCTTTGTTTGTTGTGGGGAGATTCAGGAAGATTTGAGGCAGGGTCTCTCTGTCGCCCCAGCTGGCCTGGAACTTGCTGTGTAGACCAGGCTGGCCTGGAACTCACAGAGATCTGCTTGCCTCTGCCTCCCAAGTGCTGGGATTAAAGGTGTGCGCCACCACATCCAGCTGAAATTCAGGAAGATTTAAAAGGTTAAGCCAGTGCCATCACATTCCTTTACCTTTTCACTTTTGGTGACACTGTAGGGAAACCTTTTTTCTTTCTTCTTTGCACTCTCTATTTAGTATAAGGCAGTTTTGGGAAATGAGTCGTAAAAATAATTTGCTCAGTGGCTTTTGTGTTTTATACAAAAATCTTATTCTTAAATTTCTTTTTTAGAATAGAAAAATATTTTCATAACTACTTCAGATTATATAACACAAGTCAATCAAGGAAGACAGATTTGTATACTGTGTGCTTACTCTACGCCTAAATGAAACGTAGCAGCAAGTTTAGGAACGTTCTGGGAGGGCTGACAATATGGGTCAGCAAGTAGGGGCACTTACTGCCAAGCCTGATGACCTTTGATTAATCCCCAGAATCCACATAGTGGAAGCAGAGAACCAATGCTATCTTCTTCTATATTCGCATTGTGATATTCATTCATAGGCATGTACACACACAAAATAAATATAAAAAAATAAATAAGACAGGCGTGGTGGTGCACGCCTTTAATCCCAGCACTCGGGAGGCAGAGGCAGGCGGATCTCTGTGAGTTCAAGGCCAGCCTGGTCTACATAGTGAGTTTCAGGCCACCTGGGGCTACAGGGAGACCCTGTCTCAAAAAGACCAAAAAATAAATAAATAAATAGAACATTCTAGGATCAAATCCCCCTCCCCCATTTAGAGACAGGCTGACCTAAAGCTCAATATATAGTTGAGGATGTTCTTCAACTTCTGATCCTCTTGCTCCAGCTCCCAAGTGCTAGAATTACTGGCATGTAACCAACCAGGAACGGAATTCGAGGCTTTGTGCATGCTAGGCAGGTACTGTATTAACTGAACCACACATCTTGAGCCCCCCTTTACCCTCCCCATTTTGAGATAGGATTTCATGTAGCTCAGCATGACTTCAGACTCCCTGTGTAGGTGAGGATGACCTCAAGCTCCACTTTAGCCTCTCAAGTACTGGAATAGCAGGTGTGTAGTACCATGCCCAGCCCAAAATCTTAAGAAACTTTTGTGTTCAGATTGCCAACCAATGTTGCCATGTCTTTGTTTCTTTGGTTTAGCCAAGAAAGTCTGTAAAAATTACTTTCTTGGGAGTTTTGAAGTTTTAAGTTAATTACAACCCATCATATATGAGGCTGTTTTTATAACTTGCTTCAGTTTGGTACCTTCAGTGCACTATTTTTCTGCTTCTTTGTGTCTCCATTTTTAATTGACATCACCACCAAGACTTATTTATGAAGTTAGAATATAAGTAGCATACAAATTCAATTCATGTAATTTTAAGAGGTCAAATCTGCTTTTAAATTTTTTTCACTGGATTTCAGTAGTACTGCTTTTCAAAACTCTTGAAATTGTCTTAACCTTTTTTGTATTTTATAGAGACTGTCTTTAAGTAATGACATATTTGAAGCAAACTCTGATAGTGACCAGCAAAGTGACACAAATGAAGATACTTCCCCAAGGAAGAAAAAGAAAAAATTAAGGCACAAAGAAGAGAAAAGTCCAGATGATCTGAAAAAGAAAAAAGCAAAAACTGGAAAAGCAAAAGAGAAGCTCAGATCAGAGCTGGAGGGCTCCTCTGAAAATTTAGCTTTTGACTTAAGGACAAAGAAAAGAATTTTGGAAGCCAAGGAAGAATTAAAGGACTCCAAAAAGGCCAAAAAGGATGAAATAAAAGAAACTAAGGAATTAAAGAAAACTAAAAAGACTGAAATAAGAGATTTAAAGTCTAAAATCAGAGAAGATCTCAAAGACAACCGAAAAACAAGAAAAGAGAAATATGTTGAAACTCAGCTGGAGTCTGGATCAACTGTATTTGATGATTCCCCCTTTCTGGAGGATGACAATGAAGAGTTTTACTCTGACAACAGAGAAGAAAATCAAAGAATAAAAACTTTGAAAGATATGGCAGAGCAGGATATAGTGCAAGAGGGTATTTTTGAGAAACTGGATGGTCCTGTAAGTGCTGAAGAGAACGCTGATATCAGAGTTAGGAGGAGGAAGAAGAAACCAAGGAAATTCGAGGAAGCAAAGGAGACCAAGAAGCTAGAAGACACAACTACCTTCTCAGAGAGGAAAACTATCCCTAAAAAACAAAGAAATCAAGACAAAGGCAGAAGTAAACTAGAGTTAAATAAGATATCACCATCTGCATCTGCCCAAACTCAGAAGAGTACCAGGTTGGAAGAGAGGGACCTCAGGTCCCCTGACACCACAGAGGAGGTAAGGGCAGGAGAGAAAACTTTCAGAGTGCAGAAATGCAAATTAGTGTTGTCTGTTGTGTGGTCAGGAAAGGTCACAAAGAATGGAAAGGGTAGTGGTCAAACCAGAAGAAAGTGATTTCATCTTTGGGAGTTACTGAGGATAGTGTGGCTGGGGACATCTATGAGTGCTCTGATCTTCATGCAGTTGAACCTGCAGTTTGTCTCTCAGTTTCCAACTTGTTTTCTTTTTAGAGATGAAACATGACAAGAAAATTGAGCACTAATTTGTCAGAACTTTTTGTAGAGGTACTCCTGTAATGTGTAGCAGTGTATTGTCAGGTCTATAAGCTTCATTGGCTTATTAGCTTTCACAGTTTGGGATGTATGTATGTGTGGTGTTTCTGTTTCTTCACTTTAAAAAACATTCTTTGAGAGTTTCATCCTATGTATTTTGATCTCACTCCCCACTCCTTGTAACTCCTCCCAGATCCGTCACTACCTCTCTTATCTTCCTCTTAACTTACTGTTCTCTTCTTTTCTTTTTAAGTAATGCATTGAGTCCAATTGTGCTGTGCATTTGCTCCTGGGTATAGAGCTATCCACGGGACCATACCCTTAATGAAAGCTGACTCCTTCCCTCTAGAATTCAGTCAGCTGTCCATAGCTCACCTCAGTTAGGAGTGGAGGCTTATAAGCCCTTCCTCCTCCACACTAGAATGTTGATTGGCTTGATTTTGTGCTCCCCCCACCAGCTTCCTCTTTCATCTTTCTTTTTTCCTTTTTCTTTCTTTCTTTTTTTTTTTTTTTTTTTTTTGGTCTTTTTGAGACAGGGTCTCCCTATAGCCCCAGGTGGCATAGAACTCACTGTGTAGACCAGGCTGTTCTGGAACTCACAGAGATCCATCTGCCTCTGCCCCTGCCCCTGCCCCTGCCCCTGCCCCTGCCGGGATTAAAGGTGTGCAATGCCATGCCTGGCACATCTTGTGCTCTTAAACACTGAGTCATCTCTTCTGCCCCTTACTTTCACGCTTTCCTTGGTATTGTCCTCTCTTTTTTTAGGAATAGACGATGTTTTACTCACAAGTACAGAGGGAGAAAAGGAAAGGAAAAAAACCCCAACTATACTTAACATGTTAATATTTTCAGTTATCACAGAGTATATTTAATAACTTATTCTAGTATTGCATTTTATAAGGTATTTCAAAATTATGGATTATTTTTTGTTTTTATTAAATTTTGTTGTATTTCATACAGAATATCTCAAACAGTCTGAATCATCTTTATAGCCCTGTCCCCACCAGATGCTTTCCATAGCCCCCTCCACTGCCCTGGGTGTTAAGACCTACAGTGTCAAGTCAGTGTCCCCAGATGTTCCCCAGTGTAAGTCCATCCACTTGGGGCCTAGTCAGATCCCTCTTCATCTATCTATCCAAACACCTATCATTTTCTTTTTTTCTTTTTTTTTCTTTTTTTTTAACAGAGCATAGGGTGGGGGTTTATTTACAGAGGAGTGCCCCCCCCCATTTACATCTTCACTTTAAAGTCCACACTCAAATATAGATCCTATGACTTCCGGACAGCTGCAGAAAATGGTGAGAGAGGTCCCTCCTGTAATTCTCAGCTTATATATCCTTAGCTCCTCCCCACATGCAGCTAAGGTTGACTGATTGGGTGGGAGGGTAGCTGACTCTCCCCCTTGACTCCTTGATGAGCGTGTGACTATAGCTTGCTGACATAGTGGTCAGAATATACTTCAGTTAACACTCCAGCCCTTTCTCCAGCTCTTACATTCTTACCGCCAACCTCTTCTGCAAGGGTCCCTGAGCCTTGGAGGGGGTTGTAGGTGAACTTTCGGGTCTCTGCATTGTCAGTTTTCCATGGGTTGTTGGCTCATTTCAGTGGGATTCCATCTATACCATGTGGAGCCTGGATCTGGTGCTCTCAGGCAGTTTGCTGAGTTCTCAGCCCTTATGCCAGAGGGAGGCTAGGTCAGGCACTCTCAGGCAGTCTGCTGAGATCTCAGCCCCTACACCCATGAAGGTCAGAACAGGCCCTCCAAAAGTATTATGTTTTTAATAATATAAAAAAGATGAGTTTCTCTTATTTCTAGTTTTGGTTATTTATCTTAATCATTTTAAAAAGAGGAGGAAGCTACACCAGGGTTTGTTAAATTTTTTTTTTCACCCCAGAAATTTTATGGGAGTACATATATACAGATATGTGAAATAGATAATAAATCAAATGATTAGTGATAATGAATCGTAAACTTATTTAAAAACAATTTTTGGTTTACATATAATTTTAGCATATTATATGCAGTGAGAAGGATATGCTTATTAACATAAAAATTAAGTCTTGCTGAACATTTGATACTGTGGGATGTAGAGCATTGTCATTATTTTTCAGTGTTAATCTATATTTTGATTATATACTTGTCAGTGAAAAGAATGCCTCCTCACATAAATATATTGTACAAACTGGCAGAAGTATGTTTAAGGCCATTTCAGAAATTGTTTTAATCTCAATCTAAAATCATTTAGCAATTATGAAACAAGTTGTCATGTAGCTCAAGCTGGCCTTAAACTGGCCATGTAGCTTAGGATGACCTTAAACTGATGTTGTTTCATCTCTCAAGTGCTAGGATTATAGTCCTGCACCCATACACCCCCGTTTTTGTGTGGTTTTAGGGCTTGAGCCCAGGGCTTTATTCATGCTAGGCAAGCACTCTGTCAACTGGACTACATCCCAGCCCAAACCATTATGTTTCTATAAGAGCAGAAAACTTTGTATAATAAAAGCACAGTAGTCTTGAGGCTGGAGAGATTGCTCAGTGGTTAAGAACACTGGCTATGCAGCCAGGCATGGTGGTGCACTCCTTTAGTCCCAACACTTGGGAGGCAGAGGAAGGCAGATTTCTGTGGGTTCAAGGTCAGCTGGGATTACAGGGAGACCCTGTCTCAAAAAGGCTAATCGAACAAAACAAAAAGAACACTGGCTATTCTTGTGGAAGACCCAGGTTTGAATCCCAGCACCCACATGGCGACTAACAACTATCCGTAACTCCAGTTTCAAGGGACCCAACGCTCTTCTATCCTCCATGGGCACTGCACAACACGTGTGCACTTACAAACATGTGGGCATAACACTCATACATGTAAAATAAAAATATTAAAAAAAAATTAAAAACACGATAGTCTTATAGCGAGTGCCAGACCAGTTGGGGCTACCAGGAGACCCTGTCTCAAAAAGACCAAAAAAACAGCCCCCAAAACAGTAGTCCTAATTCTGCTGGGGTTTTTTAAGCAGCATTTGTTGATATTGTGTGGTGTGACAGTACGTATGTGCAAAGTGCACATGTGTGTTCAGAACCAAGGCTGCAATGAAGTTGCAGTTGAGTGCTGCCGGAAACATCTTTGATTGATGGTACATTTGATCTTGAATTAATTTTTGGTTCTTGAGCACTCAGAAACCTTTTACTGTTGCCACATTTTTTGTGACCCCTGACATTCAGTTAAATGACCCCATAGTTCAAGAAGCTCCGATCTAGAGAAATATATTAGGCCTGGGTATAGGGGTGCATACCTATAATCTTAGTGCTTGGAAAGTGAGGCAGAAGGACTGGGAATTCTAGGCCAACCTGGGCTATACAGTGAGACCCTTTCTGAAAAAAAAAAAACAAAAAAAACCCCCCCAAAACAGGTATTTTTGGCAGTAATATCCTTAGTAGTGAAAAACTGATAGCTTGTCTAGCTGAGGGGAAAATAGTTAGGAAAATACTGGTGCATCAACTTGGGAACTTGGAATATGAGGTCGGTGTAGCAGAAACAAGAACACTTGAGAAAATGTAATGGGGAAGAAAACCATACCTAACAATGTGAATAAAAACAAATTAGCTGCAAAGTTACATGGATGAAGAGTAGTGTAGACAAATAAAATAGTTATGCTTGGTCAGGCATGGTGGTGCACGGCTTTAGTCCCAGCACTTGGGAGGCAGAGGCAGGTTGATCTCTGTGAGTTCAAGGCCAGCCTGGTCTACATAGTTCCAGGCCAGCTGGGGCTACAGGGAGACCCTGTCTCAAAAAGACCAAAAAAAAAATTATGCTTGATTTGAGACAAAATGAAGTCTTTTAAAATTTATTTTTGCAGCAGTTTTTATTAGCATATATTGTACAGAAGAATGGATTTCCTTATGACATGTTCATCTATATAGTGAACTTTCATTA